AGCTACTACAACCTCATGGACTGGGCTGCGTTGGCGCTCTACTTCGCCTCGTACGCGCTGCGCTGCATCGTCGACGTGCGAGTTCAGGCCGCCTCGGCCAAGTTCGCCTCCAACCTGACCTGCGCTCGAGCCCTCCTCTTCGAGCGATCGCCTTGCAGCCCGGCCATGCCGCTCGGACCTCTCGAACCCCTTGCACCCCTCACACCGCTCACACCTCTCGCACCCCTTGTACCCCTGGGACCGCTGGGACCGCTGGGACCGCTGGGACCGCTGGGACCGCTGAGATCGGACGACACCGAGGCGAGGCGAGCCGGCGACGCTGTCGGACTGGGCTTCTCGACGACCACCGACTCGACCTCCGCAGCCAGATCGGGCCTGCTCGACATCGCCGGACTCTCGGACCTGGCCAGCTCGTTGCCGGAGGCCTATTTGATCTTCCGCAATCGTCTGCTCATGCGCGAAGACGCCTACTGGCTGCGAGGATGTAAGTCAGCCTGACCTCGACGGCCAAACGGCCTCGTGGCCACAACCACTTCTGGTGGTTCACAGTTCCCGGTCGACCCGACCACCTTTTGGCTCTCAGACTATCCTTCCTTTTTTTGTTCGGACGTGAGTTGGTTGTCGAGACTACAACTGATTGTCGCGTAAAACTACTCACTTACGAAGTAAAGTAATGCCAATATGAGTTTGCTTCATCGGCAATCCCAACGCGGAATGTGATATGGAAAATATCTGACATTCCTTGAACTTCATATTTGTCCAGTTTCTTTCATCAACTTAAACGAAATGGAGTGAATATAGCTCATATCACAAGACATCTCGACTGAGAGCTCTATTCACCAGAAGTCGCTTAACGTGATGACTGAATGACAAGGCCTTTTCGCATAATCTGTTGAGTAAATCTCACGATGCCATTGAATTAAAGCTTGACTACTTAATTCACTTGCAAGTAGGATCGTCAACTTAAATGGAAAATACGCTCATCTGCTTCAATGACAATCGCAATGCTCAAATGTGATGCGGCAGAGGCTTAGTCTGCCCTGAAATGTATTCATTCCTGCCCTGTCAGACCGAATGGCACTGGTTGATCTCTCAGATAATATTCCACACCGCCGCACCCCGACTTCGAGTCCTTTTGGGGCTGCTTATGATATCGAAACCGCGGGCAATCCTGAAAGAGGACACATTTTTAAATTCAATTGTATCATGAGAAAAATCACCATGCTTCTTTCATCACTGAAAGCGATCTAGACCGATTAAACTCCTATTTTCGAACATTTAACCAAAACAATTGTTGACTATTTCTTGGTTGAGAATTCTGGTGAATTCTTTATAAATGGCTACGAAAAACAAAGGATGTTTTAACTCTAGCTCGCATAAAGCAAAGATGGATCAAAAGCTGAATTATTCACGAATTTCCACTATTTTTCACAGCCTGGCCAGCAGTTTTGAGCTCACCAAAGTCTCAGCCGAGCTAGTGGTGCTTTCAAAACTAAAACGAAGAAAATTTGGGTTTCGAGGAATCTCTTGTTTCATAATTGTCGAGCCTACTCCCATTTCGAGTGAAAGTATTGAGTGAAGAGATTCGAAGGTCTGTTCCACCAGAAGACGACGACGGATTCCTCTTGACCAGCTGTCGATTGGCTTTACTGGAACATTCATGCTGAGGCTGTTTCCGAGGCAATCTCCTTTGATTCCGGTGAAAAGGTGCTAAGCTTTCGTGCGTCATATGACGGACATCATCAGAGCGAGGTATCATCGTCACAACCAAATTCAAGCTAACGAGTCAAGAAAACTTACCGGAAAATCCCTAAAAAGTGGTATATATACTCGACATTTGGAGTTTTCTTGACTCGTTAGTTTGAATTTTGCTATGACGATATTCATCAAATGACGGACGAAAGCTTAGTACCCTTTCACCAGAATCGAATGAGATTGCCTCGGAAACAACGTCAGAATGAATGTTCCAGTAAAGCCAATCGACAGCTGGTCAAAAGGAATCCGCCGTCGTCTTCTGGAGGAAGCGACCTTCGAATCTCTTCACCCAACACTTCTACTCGAAATGGAAGTAAACTCAACAATTTCAAAACTTACTCATTATAAATGTGAGTAGTGCCGTCAATTTCCGTCTTAAAATGAAACTTGCTTCATAACCACTTGCACTGTGACTGGAATCGTATGAATATTCAACTGTCCATCTTGCATTACTTTATGCAATCTAGGTTGAATGCAGCTTTGAGTCACGGTATTTCGGGAGCTTGTAAATCTACACAAGAGAAATTGCAGACCCTTATGAACGCTGTTAACCGTTACAACCGACTGGAAGAGATTTCGCCTGAATGGAAGGTAATGGAGTCGAGAAATTCACTGGCAACTTGACTGGGTTGCAGTTTCTAAATAGTTTACACAGTCAGCCTGAACTGTCTTGGGTTTATTTTTAGTTTAGGCAAATATTTCAACCTTTCCATGCCATACAGTTTACGTGTTGTGAGCCAGTCCAGATTTACTTTTAATGCTGTTTGGGCATTCCTAAACCCAACTTCCACCGCTGCCGCCACTTCATCTAATCAGGCCTATTGAAAAACACACTTCCGAAAGTTGCAGTAGAGCTCCGGTCAGCCTCGATAAGATCTAAACTGAGAGTTTGCAGCGCGTTAAATTGTGTAGTCGCCTCGTCTGAGCCTACCGGATCTTAGCTGCCCTGCCTCGGACAGTTTCTATGCCGCTGCAAGGATGACAATATCCTGTCATTTTAGGCAAAATGACTCACGTAGCATATGCGAAGAAAAGTTTGGTTTAGAGCATTCTCTTGTTTCATAATTATCAAGTCTACTCCCATTTCGAGTGGAAGTGTTGGGTGAAGAGATTCCAAGGTCGAAACGGTAGTCCACTCCAGCCGAGATGGGATTACCTTTTGAGAAAGCAAGACTATGCGAAGTTCACTGGAAATGTGTGGTTTACTCACGTGATTGTGGGAAAGTTTAGCTTTGCAAGCTCTGCTGGTAGGTACGTTAAGCCGAGGAACATCGTCACTTCAAAGCCGTCCTCCTTCGCTTCCCGATGCGACCAGTTCACGAATCCTCTCATTTTAAGATCACATCTTCCATTCGTCTCCAGTGACGCGGGATCGCTTGGTCACATCGCGTCGGACCGGCCGACAACAGTCCAGATCGCATAATGCGACGACCGAATGATCGCCCAAGTTGCCCGCAATGGTACAGTTGACGGTCAAGTTATCATTTCCTTTCACTTGACTCCGTCTCCCGGCCAACGGGATTCGACTCGGAATCGGGCAAAGCTGGGCTGAATTAAGCGCCAGCTCGAGGCCTACTTGTTGGGTAGTGGAAAGATTCATAATTGTTGAGCTTACTTCCATTTCGAGTGAAAGTGTTGCGTGAAAAGATTCGAAGTTCGGTTCCACCAGAAGACGACGACGAATTGCTCTTTGCCGATTCCGATGAAAAGGTGTTAATCTTTCGTGCGTCATATGAAGAACATCATCAGAACATGGTATCATCGACACGACCAAATTCAAGCTAACGAATCTTCATCAAACACTTTCACTCAAAAATTATGAAACTTTTGCTTCCCTCAATTCTGGTGAGCCGGTCTGAAGAGATGCGACCAACCGATTCAGTCGGCTCATCTGCTTTTGTGGCTGTTGGTGATGGGCTCGAGTCTGTAACTCCGACACTCGA